TCAACTTGTGAGCCGTGAGATCAAGATCTGAAGGGAAAGCACCCACTATTTTTTTTTTCATGGACGCTGAAAACAAAATTCTCCTGCCCGGAACAATCCTAGTAGGAAGAAATATGCTGAACACTTTGCCTTGGGACAATCCCTGTGCCATGAAATTTTCAATTTTCAGTACTACATGTGCGCCCAAGAGAGAGAGAGAGAGAGAGAGAGAGAGAGAGAGAGAGAGAGAGAGAGATAGAGATAGAGAGAGAGAGAGAGAGAGATAGAGATAGAGAGAGAGAGAGAGAGAGAGAGAGAGAGAGAGAGAGAGAGAGAGAGAGATAAAACCTGAATGGGGAGCTTCTTTTTTGCCCAGGTGAAGGGATTGAACAATTCCACCTTAGTGCTTTGGATGGATTCTATGTTGGACAACCCAAAAATGTCCTTAATTTCTGCATCTATGTTTGCTAGGGGTACTATCTTAAACAAACCTTGCATCTCTGTTAAATTGATGCAATTATCTATGTCATACAAGTTTGGGGAGACTGTAGATGATGCATATGTTATTTTTTCCAACGATGTGCAATTTGATGCATGTAAGACCCGTATACTAGGGTTTAGTCCTGCAAGTGCGTTCAGCCGTGTGCAAGAACGTACATCAAGCGAAAAGAGACTCCTAAGATCTTTCACAAAATCCGGCAAGGTACAAATTGGATTATTGCTTAGATCTAGGACCCTCAACAAGGGTAGGCTACCAAAACCATTAGGAAAATCACCATCAGACAGATTGCAACCTTCAAGACTTAACCTTACTAATGAACTTGGCAGAATAGTCTTTGACAATTCAGGACGACTTCTTAATGCTGATCTCCCAAACCACATGTGTAAATACCATGGCTTAATCTCTATGGTAGTAGACGTTGATACGCTTAGGTCCATTTCATTAGCTTGCAACACTTTAAGTGATTTCATCTCTCTCAGCTCCAATGTAAACTCCTCAAGGTTTGAGCAACCAGAAATAGTTAATTTTTCAAGAGACGTAAGCATGAAAATATTTCTTGGAAGCTTCTTCAGATTTTTACAGTCTTTCAGATTCAAGAGAACAAGGCTCCCAAGATTTTCAATTGATTTATGAACATCAACCAAATTAACACAACCCTTTAGGATCAACCTCTCAAGATTGGGAAGCCCTGAGAAGTTGGGGGTTTCAGTAAGTCCATGGCAATACCTGAGGTCAAGGAATTTCAAAAACTGAAGAGACTGTGAAAAAGAAAAAAGAGGGGAAATTAATGTTAGAGATGTGAAAACAATAGAAACCGACCAAAAATAAGAGATAAAAAGAGTACCACGATGGATTAGTATCACACCTTAGTTCCCTTCCACAAAATTTTTAAGCTACTATTGCGCATGTCAATGGCAACCAGGTTGTCCATAGGAAAATCACTTGGCAAATATTGCCAAGGAAATCCATGCCAACACAACCATCTTAAATTCTTAGGAAACTCTTTGTAGCCTCCAATAAGTCGGACATAGTTGATCTGCAGTAGTCTTAATTGGTGCATTCTTGTGAATGCATCAGTTTTCAAGATGGCCTCATTTGAATTTTTAATATTCAAGATACTCTTGGCATGCTCATCTTCCTCAAGTATCCTCATATTGAGAGCAAGACCTTCGATTGTCTCGGTGCCCTAATAATAAAAAACAATAGATGGTTAACAAGCATGCCAGCATATGGAAACGCACATGAACGTACACAAGTTAGAAGTAATTTTCTTACAAATCTATCTCGCAATACTTCAAAGGAATCCTTGTAATTCCACAATCTACTACGTCTGCCAAGATCTTTTGGTGATTTCTGACAAATAATGTCTCTGCCCATCTGCTGAAGCAATTTATTCATCATAAACTTATTCTCATTGTTTATGGTTAAGAGACATCTGTCCACAAGCCTCTTAATTCCACGTGATGTGTAAAAATCACATTCTTGAAGTATTGCATCGACATAGGCATTGTCCATTCCAACAAAAAAACAAGCAATCTCAAGGAATAGTTCTTTGTCACGTTCATTTTGTAAAGAATCATAGCCTATTCTAATCTTATCCAAGATCCCATCTTCATCAATTGCTTTAAATTTCTTTGATACACTAGTCCATGGATCCACTTTTGGATCCTTCGCAGCACACAGGGAACGACCTAAAACCTTAAGAACCAAAGGAAGCCCTCCGCAATGTTGGACAACCCCTTTAGAGCACTCCATGAAACCTTCAGGGGGATGATTTTGCTCAAAAGCATGCCAACTAAAAAGCTCAAGTGACTCACGATCATTCATTTTCACAATATCATAGATCTCCACTTTATAAGGCTCTAGCAAATGCTTGTTCGTGGTTGTGATGATAATTTTACATCTCGGATGGAACCACTTGTGCCTTTTAAGAATTGCTTCTAGTTGACGTTTATGGACCACATCATCTAAAACAACAAGAACTCTACGAGAAAATACGAACTCCTTTATCTCCCAGGTTCCTTCATTAACATCTCTTCTTTCTACCTTTATACCTTTTCGAAAATATGAAAGAAGTTTTCCTTGTAATTGAATCAAACCATCAGATGTTTTGGGAGTTTCACTTATATTTTCAAGAAAACAACTGCCTTCAAATCTATTAAAGTTCAAATCAAAAAGATATCGGGCAGCGGCTGTTTTTCCAATTCCACTCATCCCGCAGATCGCCATGATGCCCAAATTTGTTGACTCATTTAACCACAAGTCAACCATTGCAGATCTATAAGTCATTCCAATAAGCTTGGGTTTAACAGTTAAGACTTTGTAAACCACATAATCGTTAACCACTTCAATAATTTTCTTGATGAATTTTGCTTCATACCTACACATGGATTCACCGAAGTGAACGAGTAATCAAATTATCCATTTCAGAAAATAGAAATATGTTGAAAGAAAGAATTCAACCCGAAAGGCAAAAAATGTTGAACTTAATTTTTTAGACCATCTACCTTTGTTTTCCTTTTTTGATTAAAAGTTTTATTTCAACATATGTTCAAAAATTACAAATACTTTTGAAAATCCAATACCTCGTTTCTATTATATAGATTATCAAAACATTTTAAAAATTTTCCAAACTCAAGAAAAGACTGTGTGAGAGATTACCCATCAGCTTCGTTCGCCAAGACCATCCCTCCGTATTCTCCAACTTCTTCAAGCGCTTCCCTCCATTGTTTCACCTTGTCCTCCAACTCCTTTTTCTTTTTGTAATCCCTTTCCATCTTGACCCTGTTTTCATGTTTAACAAATGCTTCTGCAAAATCTCCTGTCTGCTTCCTAACATCGCTTGGATCCACATCGTAGAAGACGGGTAGAACAAAATGATTCAAGTTCGTCCTCTTACGGTTGAGGATCATGACTACTTCATCAAGACACCATCTGGAAGAAGCATAATCCTTTGAGAAGACAATTATCGAACTCTTTGACTGTGGGATTGCTTTTTCCAGTTCAGAACCAATAGGTTCTCCTCTCTTTGCCTCGTCTTCATCTCTAAAAGTTCGAAAACCTGCATTCACCAAAGCTTCGTAGAGGTGGTCAGAAAAAGTCTTGCGAGTTTCACCTCTGAAACTCAAGAACACATGATAAGTATATGGATCGAACACAGAAGAGGAGGCTTCTGCGGCTCCCACGGCAGCCATGTAGGGAACAAAGGCCTTGGTAGATGTCAAAAAAGGTTTTGGCGGATGAAGAACAATTATGCAAGAGAGCTTCTTGGATGGGAGAGTCTGTCTCAAGCAATTAAGATCTCTTCATCCTCTTCTGATCCGCAAAAATAGTTATTTTAATAGGAGAATAAATTTTAACTCAAATGTGCATTCTAAATGAAGTGATTATTGGATAAGTGGATTCTATCAATTTTTTTAAATGGAATTTATTGATCTAATTGTCCTCTTTAATCTGATTTGTAAATTCAAATTACGGGTTTGAATTAGATATCATTACTCATTTTTATACACTTTTTTATCATTTGCAAATCTAATAACATCGATTTCCACGGCCCTTTCACTTTCATAGACTTGGAAAATTAAAGCCACTTACCACATCGATTTCCACGACCCTTTCACTTTCATAGACTTGGAAAATTTAAGCCACTTACCACATCGATTCTCTTTCCTTGCCCTTTCCTCGCGTGATAAAGACTAAATCTTTTCTTTTTATTTTACAGTAACGTTATATTAATTTAAAATTTAAATTTGATAATTACGATTATTAATTTTATTGTGAATCCCTTTCATATACTTGAACAACCTACTTGTGGATTATTAATTACCTATCAACCATTGTTTCTCTTCTACGTGGCAGAGATATAACTATGGATAACTATAAAAAAAGTAGTAGGTTTTGAACACGTTAACGACGACAAAAAAATGACGATTGTGCAAACGTATCCTGCAACAAAGACAATTAATTTTTTTAATTTATAAAATATAATAATAATTAAAATTAATTTAACTTTATCTACTTCAAATATATAATATAAAACTCATTCTAATTTTTTTTTTGATAAAAAATATCGACCCCTAATAACAGACAACCTCATTCATTCATATTTACATTTCTCATCTGTCTTGCATCTCTTATTTTCTCTATCTTCAGTTTTCATATTAAAGAAAAGAAAAAAAAATATATTACTATTTAAAGTATAAATATTGCATTAATATAAGTATAAAAACTATATTACTTTTCATTGATAATGCGACCAACTAAATTTTATTATATTAAATTTGGTCAAGCTTACTAGGGATTCACCTATGAACTTCTACATGCAATGTTATGTGGATTTAAAATTCTGATCGATTATATTATTAATGTAATTGTAGGTCTTAATATTTATTTTGACTCATTATCTATTCAATAGTTGTAATTCATCAAATCATTATTTTAAGTTCAAATAACATTTTTCTACTTCTATTGCACAGTTTTGAGTTTCTATTAAATTAAAACGACAAAATATTGAGAAAAAATGACACAACAAATGAGAGCACTTGGAGTTGATGGTGAGTAACATCGAAGGTGAGTAACAACTATTCTGCCAATCCTAATCGTACTTCCATATCAATTTTCCTCTGTTATATATCATTCCAATTGAGTTTTGCGATAATTTTTGACGAATTGGAGTTGATGGTAGTCGGAAATAGGCTCACATAAATCATACCTGATCATCTTCTTACTGGTTTTGGTGCAGAGGCTCCAATGCCCTTAAAGTTCCTTTTGTCCATCTGCTATGCTGCTTTCGTAAAAGGAGATGTTTCAAAGATTGAGGTTGATGCTTCTGTGAGTGTAGAGGCCTCTCAGCTCTATCCAGAGGTGAGATACACAACTGTGGACGAATTCCTCAATCAGTTCGTCTAAGATCCAGCAAGGAGACTCAATTCTCTGCCTTTGCTTCTGCTCTAATAATCTTAATAAATCTTCCGTGTAAAATGCTGCACTTCATAGTTTTCTGTATTGAAACAATGAATTTTGAATCTTGTGTTTAAGCAAATATGAAACAATATCAAAAAACCAGACTCGTGCTTCGAAACAAGGACTACACTTTTCCAAAAGGATTTGACTGTTCAAGATCATAAATGAATAGACAATAAGTATTAGATAAATCATATGCCAAAAGTACTATTTCAACTTATATATTATATGTTCAATGATATTTTTAGTTCCTAAAGTATGCATTTTTTATCAATTTAGTCCAGATTATATCAATTTTGTTAATTTGATCTCTAAAGTATTCAATTCATGTCATTTTGGTTTCAAATCAGACAATTCATCAAGTTTTATAACAGAAGTAATCACGTGTCATTTTTTTAGACGATATTACGTACCCAACACGTGATCATTCCATCAAAAACTTAATGATTTAATCAATGTAGAGACTAAAATGACACAAATTAAATATTTTAAGGACTAAATTAACAAAATTGATTCAACGAGGATTAAACTAAATAAAAAATGCATATTTTAGAAATTAAAACTACTACTAACCCTATATTATTTCTTTACTTTCTAAAACAAAACAAACACTTTTACTCTGTTCTCTTTGCTTTCTAATTAATGGCTCATGGGCATCATGAAATGTCCCTTCCTTCCACGTCTTTCTTCCCCTTCCTTTTTATTTTTTATCTGGTTATCGTACAATTTAAAAAACTAAATACAAAATTATTAAAAATTAGGGTGATAAAATAATTATGAAAAGTTAGAGTGGTAATTTCAGGTCCCCTTGGCTCACGCATTAAAGCCTCGAGCTAGCAAGCCTATATATCGTTTTTGAAATAATTGGACGGTCGGTGTTCTTCCTAATTGTCTTTTTTGAAGCTCTGATGCCACTCGTACGCATACAGTGTAAAGATTTTTGAGTTCAAATTTTCCCACAAACGCTAGGACTTCACGAAGAGAGAAATGAAACACAAACATCTATATCGCTAGTCGAATGCTATCTCCAATGACACTAATAAATACAATCGAAATGGAAAACGAAAGAATTTATGAAAGAAAGATCGAAGAAAACATAGATAAAGATGCTGGTGTAGGTATGAGAATATCTCGATTGATGAATTGGGAATCCACCTCTTCCTGTTCATCGTACACAAGACAGATTCCAATCTCCTTTATCTCCAAGCCATAGGTTCAAACTGAAACCTAAGCTTCCAATGACTTAATCACATCATACATCTGTCTGGTTCCAGAAATCCCCAAAATATTGGCTTATAAATCACCTTATTCTTGATCCCGTTATTGATGTCAGCTTCAATACATTCTCCACCCATCCAGTGTTTTTTATCAATCGCATAAACACAACACATACTCAACTTGTGAATTTCAAGATTAAGAGCTAAAGGGACGGTAAAAGATATCGAGGACCCTGCTTTTGAATTGGTGAACCAGCCTGGAACATTGCTACCAAGTAGAAATGTGTTGAATATTCCTTCTTCGAGCAGTACCTATGCCATGAAAAGTACAGTTTTGCCTCTTACACTTACAAATGCACACAATTGAGGGAGAGAGTGTGTGGGAGGGGAGGGAGAGAGCACCTGAATGGGGGCTTATTTTTCATTGATGTTACGGTACTGCACAATTCCACCTTACTGCTTCCGATGGATTCCATGTTAGGCAAACCCAAATTGTTGATTGTATGTGCATCAAAATTTTCTATGGGTTCTAACTTAAAATGACCTTGCAACTCCACTAGATTCTCACAAAAAGCTATGTCAGATTCCACAGGTGATGCGTAGGTTACTTTTTCCAACAATGGGCAACCTCTAGTACATAAGTAGGATTCTATGAAGGGTAGCCCCGCAAGTGTTTGTAGCTCTTTACACCATGATACGTCCAACATATGGAGACTGTTAAGACTTTGGACACAGTCTGGTAGGTTTCGAATTGGATTGGCGCTTAGATTTAGATACCGCAACAAGGGTCAGGCTTTGAAACTCTTAGGAGAAACACCATCATTTAAATTGCATCTTGCAACACTTAAGTTTACCAATGAAGGTGGAAGCAACAAAGTTGGACTGTAATCCACAGGGCATTTGGTTGAAAATAGGTTGAATGGGTTGACCAGTTCTACTCCATTACCTCGAAACACTTTAAGGGAATGCATTCCTCTTAGATCTGGACACTTCTCAAGATTTGAGCAACCAAAAATATTTAACGTTTCAAGAAATCTAGGTATGTCAAAAGTTCTTGGCAGCTTCTTCAGATTTTTACAATTTTTCAGATTCATGTAAACATGTCTCCGAAGTCTTGAAATTGATTCATGAACTTCAACCAATTTTCCACAATCACTTAGGATCAATCTCTCAAGACTAGGGTTGTAGTGAGGTCATGGCAATGTCTGAGGTCAAGGATTTTTAAGAACGTAAGAATCTGTTAAAAGATCAACAAAGAGGGAAGTTGATATCACAGACATGCAAATGATAACCCCCACCCCCAAAGAAACAAAGTGCAAAAAGAGGAGGGCAATGGTGGATGAGTAGCATACCTCGATTCCCATCCATACCTGTTCTAAGCTACTATTACGCATGTCAATGACAACCAGGTTTTCCATAGGAAAATCACTTGGCCAAGATTTCAAAGAACATCCATGCCAACATACCCACCTTAAGTTCTTGGGAAACTCTTTGTAACCTCCAGTAAGCCGGGCATAGTTAATCTGTAGTAGTCTTAATTGTTGCATCATTTTAAATGAATCAGTTTCCAATATGGCATCTTCTGAATATTTAATATTAAGGTTGTTCATGGCATGCTTTTCCCTCAGAAGTATATCCATATCGAGAAAAAAGCCTTCAATTGTCTCTGTGTCCTAATAACATAAAACAAAATTGACAGGTAACAAGCATGGTAGCATGTGGAAACACACATGAACATACACAAGTGAGAAGTAATTTCCTTACAATTTTATCTTGCAAAACTTTGAAGAAATCCCTGTAATCCCACAATTTACTAAGCCTGCCAAGATCTTCTGGTGATTGCTGGCGAACAATATCTCTGCCCATCTGCTGAAGCAATTTATCCATCGTATCCTTGTTCTCATTGTCCAAGGTTAACAGATATCTATCCTCAAGATTTTGAATTCCATGTGGCGTGTAGAAATCACATTCCTCTGGTATTACATCTACATATGCATTGTGTAAACTTTGTTTGATCAAAGAGATCAATCAAATCCTAATTCCAAGATCTAGAACAATCATGATTTTTACATACTCATAATATCATAATGTAGAATTAAGAACATCATAATCAAACATACCTGGAGCCATAATCGCAAACCTTGAATTACTTGAACAAGAATTGAACCATCCTTGGTGTAGCCCGAAAATTAGTTTCTCTCTCCTAACCTTTATTCTTAGGATACACAATTCGATGGGGCATGTGTATATTTATAGGTAGAGAGAGAACAGGTTCCCTAGCTCAACATAAACTTTACTTCCCATCAAAGTAAAACATCAGGAAACCACTTCTTCTCATTGACCAATCAGAAAACATTAGTTAGTTATACCGGTTAGATTAGGATTGATAACCTTATTATTATCTAACCCAAATTAATTATCTGATAATAATTATTAAAATCACATGTGCCAAATCAAGTGGGCCACATTAATTCTTACATTCTCCCGCTTGGCCCATATGATTATCTTACAATTGGGTCTAGCAAGATTTGCATAAACGCGCAATAAATTCAATCCATACTACTTTAATTTGGTCATCATAATATCATAATTAAACAACCCACTAATGCGAGTCATGGTAGTTGTACATTATTAACACGATATAGTCCCTTCCATGTACCACAACACTAGCAACTTGTCTAACACAATCTATAATTGAGAAGTATATATAATAAGGTCCAACAATAATGCCCTATGTCGAAGGCTATTCTTGTTATCATTCAATCAATCTTTATACATGTACGTACATTTTGAAAAACAATAAATATCGTAAACAATTCAAATAAAAACTAAAAGTGTCAAATAATCATCATGCAAAATCCACAACATTAAGTGAACAACCATCATGAGCTACAATCAAAACTCATTATGTTTACATCTTTAAATGTCTTTAGTGGCACTTTCTTTAATGAATTTGCAATTATGAGCTTCATGCTATTATACTCTATAGACACTTAGCAAAAGGCATATATGCGAAATTATCACAATAAATTCTCAGCGGCTTGACCATAAAGTCGACAATTCCAAATCCTAAGATTAGATTTTCACATCCATAATCCATAAATTGTAGCCTCAAAGCAAAACACAAATTTAACTTTCATAATTGTCAATCACCACTAGATGATTAAACTTCTTAAANGTATATATGCGAAATTATCACAATAAATTCTCAGCGGCTTGACCATAAAGTCGACAATTCCAAATCCTGAGATTAGATTTTCACATCCATAATCCATAAATTGTAGCCTCAAAGCAAGACACAAATTTAACTTTCATAATTGTCAATCACCACTAGATGATTAAACTTCTTAAATGTGAGCATATAATCATTCATACCTTGTAAATATCTTATAAGCTCGTAATGATCCATTTCAGGATCGGTTCGGTATTTACATAATTTACCAACTGCAAGAATAATATCTGATATTATACACGTAAATGCATACATAAAACATAAGAAATCCAATACATTCAATCTTTCTAGAATTCTTTCTATATATACTTTATGAGACAACCCAAACAATCTATGTGATCGATCATGGGACACTTAAAATACAATCACATAAATTGTCTCACCATTTTTTATTTAATATTTAAAGAAAGATTACTACTGACAAACAACACAATATCAACATATAGAGTTAAAAACCTTACTCCCACTAACTTTAAGATATAAATACACCGATAATG